GCCTGCCCTGGAGGAGTCCACATGGCATGGCAGACCTCTCCTGATCCGCCCGCTGCTCCTCTCAGCAGTGTACTTTGTAGATCTGCCTGTTCTGCTCCCCATTCTGTCTCTGATGAATCTTCACCGCCCCTGAGCCTCTGGTCTGTACCCCAGTTCTGTATGCACAAATAAATAAATCTTTAAAAAAATAAAAATAAATTTAAAAATGTACAAAATGTTTTAAAAATAAACTTATAAAAATAAAATAAAATACTTATCAACTCCCACTGTTGGAAGTAGTAAGTCGAAGATAGAAGACGACCATTGGGAGTTGGAAATAGTTTGTTTCTTCTTTGAAAACTGTAAAAGTACCTGGGAGAGAGGGCATATAGATTCATGGGCTTTAATTTTCAGAATCCTATAAAAATGAACTGAAGCCATGTAACTTGTACTAACCATTGAAGGAATGAGAAATTTGGTACATAGGTAAAGACTCCTGAGTCTACTGAGTGGATTCTTATTTTAGACTATTTTAGTCTCTTTCATTCGCAAATGAGGATTCACAATGTATGTATGTATTATTTCATACAGAACCCATAATTTTAAATGTGTTTATTAGCTTTTTAAAGATCACCAGTGTGAAAAATGAAGGTTAAGAAAAAGCAAGGTTTTTATTTCTGCAGTTTGACTTTAGTTGATTTTCTCTTTCAGTGGAGTGACTTTGTTATGGAAAATAATTACCACAAAATGATGTGGTAGTGTAGAAAATTTTTTGCTTAAAGGGTTGGCTTTGTTTTTGTTACAGTATTTATTGCTTTTTCCATTCTATTGTCTTCATTGTTGAAGAACTATATATGTAGAATTATTAAAGAATTAAGGGTTTTTTCATTTTGTTTTTTCTTAGGATTCACTCCTTCTCCAGTTGCACAGTCACATCAGTCAGCTGGCCTTAATGTTGACTTTGAATCTGTGTTTGGAAATAAATCTACCAATGTTATTGTAGAATCTGGGGGTAAGGAAAAAAATGTTCCATTAACATTATTGTGATGTTCTCATTTAGATTTTGTGTAAGTACAGATAATGTTCTTTTTAACATGTGTAGGTAGACTAACTTGGTTTTTCCAAGGAAATTGTTCTCCTCCCTTACTGACTAGATAAGAACTTTTGACCATCACCCCTTTCCTAGTGGTAGTTTTTACTTTAGAATGAATGGCTGTTTTTCTCAGTGGTGTATAAGAGTATATATACAAAAGTATTTTGCGCTGATTAGACTGCTAAATTGCTGGTGATTGCATGTAGAGTGTTATTATACCTTTAAAACATTACAATTTTCACTTCTCCTGAAATTTATACCTTTACTGAAATGAAATTTGCTCTTTTGAAATTTAAAGAAATAAAAGCTGCGGTATCTTTACTTATTGAGATAGTTCATGTATAGCTATTAAATGTCAGAACTGTGTGTATTTAGGGGTTTCTTCGTATTTTAAGGTAAATACTCAGTGTTTAAGCTACAGTATACCTACTTGTCTTCAAGGAACTTTTATTTTAGTTGAGGTTATTTTGATTTATATTTTTGCATTTTGGAGGTATAGGAATTCCTCTTTCAGGTACTGTTACACACTGTACCCACCATGGCATCCCCCATAGTCCACCGAGATAATGCATTGTGCTCTTCCCCCCTTTTTTCTCACCCTTTCCCTTTTCACTCTCTCTGGTAGCCTCAGTTCTATAGTCAGCTTTCTAAGTTTTACAGTTAATTTCATTTTACCTAACCCTTTGTTTTGTTTCTCTATATTCTATATATAATACCATCCAGTATTGTTTTTATTTCTTCTGACTTATTTCATTTAGAACAATCTCCTCTAGTTAGATTCATGTTGTTGCAAATGCAAGAGTTTGATGGCTTTTGAGAATTGAATAGTATTCCCCTTGTGTATTTTACCACATCTTACTGATTTTGTGTACTTAGGTTGTTTCCATAGATTGGCTACTGTAAAGAGTGCTGTAATTCCTTTTGAATTCCTGTTTCTGTATTGTTAGGTAGAATTGCTGGGTCCCTGCAGTACATTAAAATTTTAATCTATTGTAAAACCTCCACACTGTTTTCCATAGTTACTGAACTCAACCCAGTCTACATTACCTCCAGCAATGTAAGAGGGTTCCTTTTTTACCACATTCTCACCAGCACTTAGTTTTTCTTAACAGTTTCTTGAACTGTGCAGAACTTTTCAGTTTGATGTAGTTCCAGTTGTTGAGAATCTGCTTTGTTTTCCTTGCTGTTCAAGATGCATCCACAGAGACATCTCTGATGCCTGTGTTTTGGATAATTTGTAATTTATAACTGATGCATTTTATTCTTTCATTTGAGTTTGTCTTGCTTAAAAAAAGTAGAGACCAATTTTTCATATTTTTATTAGCCAGTCTTTTTAGTATCATCCTTTTTCAAATAATATCTAGCATACTTAGCTCATGCTGTTGAATCCTTCAGGGAGTTGGATTGATTCAGTTTATCTTATTTTCTACCCTTTGGTAGAGAACCTTAGGGAATTTTATTTTCATTTCCCACACTAGTCTAAGTTACTTAATGGCTTCATTGAAGTGTAGTTTATCAACTTCATAGGTATAATTTAGGTTAGCTCTGTTTAGACTGAAGAGATAATCTAATTGTTCTTTTTCACTTAATGCTAATAAACTGTTTACATATCTTTCATTCTTTGAAGAATTTAAAATATTTAACTTTGTAGTATAAAAATTATTTCTTAATAGGAATTATTTTTTTAAAGTTACAGAGTTATATTTTTTAGTTGTGTTGCTTCAAGTCTGAGTCTCCAGAAAATTTTGTTTGATGCAGGGGAGAATTAGATTTATTCCCTATTTAACAATTTTGGAATTAGGATAGTTTCCTTGAATGCTTCTCTTTTCATTCCCTTTAACCTTAATGTAGTTTTGTCTTGAAATAAGATAGATGGTTCCTCTGAAAGGAAATGTACAGCCCTTTCAGTCACTTTGAAAAGGTGACTTTCTCCTTCTTCCACTGAAGAGTATATTTTAGTGCCCATTCTGTAGGGAGTACTTTGCTAATGAACAAAAACAGAAGGAGCAGAGACCTTTTTAGGAAGCTATAGCTCTATAAAATTTCCTTACAAATCCTATTTCATCTGTTTGTAACTTTAAGGCTTTGATGAACTAGGTGGACTTCTCAAACCAACAGTGGCCTCTCAGAACCAGAGTCTTCCTGTTGCCAAACTCCCGCCTAACAAGTTAGTATCTGATGACTTGGATTCATCTTTAGCCAACCTTGTGGGCAGTAAGTATGTCTTTGAATTTAATCTTCTTTGAAACAAGTTGTTTTATAAAAATGAGTCTCATTTTCAAGTGCTTTCTTTTTCTCTATGTCCTAGATCTTGGCATTGGAAATGGAACCACTAAGAAGTAAGTGTTTTAATTTGTGTTCTTTCCTAAGGTAGCATTCAGATATTGACTTGGCTTCATTTTGAAAATAGGTGCAGAGATGTGAAATTTGCACCTTAGTTGTTCTTTTCAATGAAAATACATAGTAAAAAAAAAAATGTTACAATTACATACTTTAATGTGCTCACTTATATTTATTTAAAGTGATGTAAATTGGAGTCAACCAGGTGAAAAGAAACTGACTGGAGGATCTAACTGGCAACCAAAGGTTGCACCAACGACTGCTTGGAGTGCTGCAACAATGGTGAGTTGAAAAAGCTCTTGATATACTAACACAGTTTAGGTAAATGTAACATGGAATGTTTGTTATATCACATGTAACTGGAATGATTCTTACAGAGTTTTAAAATGTAATTTGTATTTCTTTCAAAGGGAACAATGGTTGACTATTTGCCAAGAACATTTTAGTTGCAGACATATAAGTAAAGGTTACTTTGTGCCAGGGATAATCTAATAAATGATACCTGGTTTTATTTATGTAAACCTCAAAATAAATTATATATGATATACATATTAGTGTTCCTGTATTACAGCTGAGGAAATGGAGATAGTTATTAAGTAAGTTGCAAAAGATCACAGAATTCTTGAATGATTAGTGGGCTTCAGAGTCCAGACAGTCTAACCACAAAGCATGTACTCTCAGTCACTACTCTGTACCACTGAGCTTACATTTATTATTTATTTATCTAGACTATAAAATCATCAGTTTTCATTTGATATTCTCATCACTGGTGAACTACTAACTGGGTTTCTTGTTAATATTTTCAAATAAATCATACAGATGATTCTCCTCCTTTACTGTAACTATGTTCTTAAAATCACCTTAAAATTGAACTGTTGTGGCCCTCCCTGGTAGCGCAGCGGGTTAAAGCACAGCATTAAGAAGCTAAGCCACTTCCGCATGAGTTCGATCCCTGCCTGCCCCAGAGGTGACCACATGGCGTGGCAGACCTCTCCTGACCCGCCCGCTGCTCCCCTCAGCAGTGTACTTCGTCGATCTGCCTGTTCTTCTCCCTGCTCTATCTCTGATGAATCCTCTCACCGCCCCTGCACCTCTGGCCTGTACCCCAGTTTTGTATGAATAAATAAATCTTTAAAAAAAAAAATTGAACTGTTGCTAGCTTAATACATACATATTCCTCTAGCAGAGGTTCATTATTCACCACTTAAGTGTTTGGGTGAATTTAAGAACATGCATATAGTAAAGAAGAATCTGTGAGTGTGTATATGCGCACGTGTGTGTCCACAGGTATACACATAGAATTTCACATAGATTATGATCTTGAATTCTTCTAAAATTCTAAAGAAACTCATTTCAGCAGTTTTTTTATTTTACAAAAGAGAAAATGAGGTTCAAACTGTTCAGTAACTTGCTGAGGCCTACTAACATACTGAAATTGGATTCCTGCCCTTGTCTACCTGTCCTCAGAATCAGAGCTTCTTATAGTGGACTGCAGTTTCCTATCAGCACTAAACCAAGGCAGAGCCTTGCCTTGTTTTTCTTCAATTGGGAATGAGTATATTGTCCACAAATGTTGCTACTCGTGCACCTCTGTGAATGACCTTGAAAGTGCCACAATATTGATTTGGGTATCACAAGTTAGTTTTTGTGAGTAGGTGAATTTGCAAATAACAGGTCAGGAATGATGAGGATTAATTATATTTGTTAATTAATTAGTATTTCACACTGGACACGTTCTACTATTGTTTTTAATTATTTACATTTGTAGCTTAGTGACTGTGTCCCTGGCCTTGGTCAACTGCACTTTTACCTGTTCAGTAAGTCTCCCCAGGTCAGAGAAAACCAGTTCCTCTTGTAGAATAATTTGAGACATGCTTTCATGTAACCATTACTAATAGTAGCATTTTAATTACACATGCTACACATTGTAGCTTTCTGATTATAAAACATGCCCCATTTTTGTTCTGGGTACTTTTTAGTTATTAAATCCCTTCCATAGTATTACTATTTTCCTTGGATGAGTTATACATTAAAATTGTTAGGGCTGAACTAAAAAATACCAGATTGATAATATTTGTGTTATATTCTCTGAAGAGTTTTGTTAATTTTAATTTTCATAAGTGGAAAATAATATAGAAATTTACTTTTGTTAAATTTAAGGCAGTAGTTTTCAATGATGATGGTTACTACCATTGTTTACACACACATTCTAGAATCTGTTTAACCAGTATGTTGGAGCGCATGTCTTTCCATTGTAAGGTAAAGCTATATAATTTAAAAATGCAAAACAAATGGAACCCATATTTAAATTGAAATCCATACTTTATGATTCAGATACATTTTTGTACCCATTGTAACACACCTCACTCTCTTGGCATACAGCAGTATTTAGTTTACTGGATTGTTTTTTATAGCTTCAGGTATGAATTATAATTGATGAGACAAGAAGTATGTTATAAATCCAAATGCTGACATGAAAATATAATGGATAGCTATCTATTTTATATTGTCATTATAGTCTAGGAAATACACATTTGTACATAGCATGTGAGATTGAATACTAGAATCTAGTCTTAGAAATTTGTATGTCAGATACTAACATTTATGATACTATCTTTTATATATGGTAATGTGTATCATCTCATGAAGATCTTTGTGAAAATCTTTGTATATATGTTTTATAGAGGTTCTTTTTAATAATCAATATTTAGAACTGGTGATAGAATTCACTACTTTGATAAACTTCTCATGACATTTGTTTACATGTTTAACCTTTTTATTAATCCTTAAGCACTGTCAAGGTTTTTAAATACTTTTTTATTTAAGAAAAGTTCGTTGGTATTTTATTACAACATCTAATGATGACATACTACAAATTCTTTTAATTACTACTCCATGTCTATCACAGGATGTGTCACATCCTGTGACACAACTCTCTTTTATAGGATGCATTGAACTTTGCATTGCTGATAGTACTGATAGATTTATGTTTAATGGCACCATAATCAAAAGTACTGCCTTAAGGGCATGATGTTAAAGACTAAATTTCCCTTGTCAACCTTGATAGTGTTTTTAGAATAGATGTTCTTTCATTAGATACTGGAAATACAGGGATTTTAGGCAGTTAGTGAATGTACATGTGGACTAAAATGCTCTCTGTGTATATTCTGTTGTGTAAGTATTTGTTCTAATCCAGTGTTATTGCATTATGTAATTGTTCTCCCTGGAAAAAACAGAATGGCATGCATTTTCCACAATACGTAAGTGACCCAAAACTAGCCTTTTTGCAATAAATTGGCATGCTATTAACCACTGCTGTAGCAGAATCTCATAACTCTCCAGCTATTACTTGTTTTCACATTCAGATTTTCAATGTGCCGAAAATTCTCCCTAGCATCTACTGATTTTATGGGTTTGTTGCAGAATTGAATCTAATGGTAGCATGGAAAATAGAAATTTTTTTTTTCTTGCTTAATATTCTGCCATTGCTGCCAGATGGCTGGGTGTCTGTGTGTGTATATGTGCTGCCACTGTGCACTTGATGACTTCTGAATGAAGGGAAATGTTGACTGTGGCAATGTTGACAATAACAATTGCATGAAATCTTACAGGCTTCTGCTGTACTTGGCAGTTTGTCTACTACTCTTGCAGCTCTTGGTTTTTAATTAGGGAGAGACCAATAAGTTCTACATGCTCACCCAAATGTGAAATTTTTAACTTTATTTTAGTTTTGCTTCATTTAACTTCTCCATGCATATGTTGGAATTGCCATATAATTTCAGTTTTTCCGTTTGTCTGTTTAAACAGTGTTATTGGTCTTTCACCTGTATTCAGTTTCAGTGTTTGTTTTAAGATAACAGAATGTTGTTAAGACAGCAGATATATCTAAAATGATTCTGTGTTCAGGTTATATATTTATAGAACATGAGTTTAAAGGAAGAGGGGAACTTAGATATCTTAGTCGTAGGTGACTCTTAAGTGCAAGAGCATAAACAAATATAAAATTATTGCTCCTCTCAAATTGGTACCTTGCAGAAATTAGTTTAAATAAATTATAGAATAAATAGGAAAGAATATTAACACATGTATATAAAAACTTTACTTCATGAAAATAGACATCCTCAATAGTGGCTTGCAGTTTGTGGAGGTTCTTTGAACAGAGTGATTGAGGTTCTTAGAAGCTAATTTTTTAGAACATCAGATTAATGATTTGTTTGGAAACTTTAAATTTTATTCTTTGCTAAAAAAAACATGTAGGCATACATTAACTACTTTTTCTGTGTAAACAACTCTTATGATAAGAATAAACTTAAACTGTAAAATTTGAGGTTTTTCAAGCTGTAAAATGCACGTAAAGATCTTAGGTCATTGCTATATCTAAATTTAAATGCTCTTTTTTTCTGATTCTGCTTTTCTGCTTATTTCAAGATACTTTTTTTCATTGAACACTAATTGACAGTTATTAACAATCCGAAGTATCACATTTAATCACAGCTGTCTTAGCAATTCTTTTTAGTGGAACTGCAGCTATTAACTCCTTAAACTCAGTTGTCATATGTAAGTTATATTTCCTTCTTTGTTTTTTCTCTCACCATGTCAGGCACCCCCTGTAATGGCCTATCCTGCAACTACACCAACAGGCATGATAGGATATGGAATTGTAAGTATTTTTCTGGACACTTTTTGAAAATGAAGTTAATTCACATGTAACATGCCTTTCTTATGAACTTAACTGGAGAAAAGAACTTAGTGCCACACATACCCTTATGGCCTAACCAGGACCTTTAACCATAGTTACCGGTTTTATAAATATTTCTGGAATAGTCATTACACTACAGCTGTCATTTATTTATTTCCACAGTATCATCTGGTTTATTTTCTCCTTATGACTTTCCTATACTTCATTAAAAGCTCATTTAAACATTAAAGTTGATGTCAAGGTGGTGGTGTTGTGACCTCACATTAATACTGATGAGGTGTTCTAATTTTATACTGTAGGGGAAGGGAGGAATTAACATTATTTGATTTGTATAGGTAAGTTATTCATGTAAAGGCCAGAGAAATTTTCATGTGACTGTTACCCATAAGAGAGACTTTTAATCTTAAAATATTTAACATATGATCTTACTGCCCTTTTCTGCTGCCCAACTTGAAATGGAGGTGATAGCTTCAACCCACTGTACTTGTTTGAGCAACATGGCTGTTACTAGAAGGTAGCAGCACTTATCTCTTGGTGATACCACTGTGTGTGCTTTGATGCTACATTATTTACATTTTCTGAATGTAGCTTTCCCCTACATATGAGGACATTGCACAGCTTTTAAATTGGTGGTCATTACAAAAGAAAGGGGTATAAATAAAAAACTCAGGCCATAAGGTTAAAATGAAGCTCTTGTGACAAGTTGGAGGCTACTTGAAATAAATAGAAATTGTAGGAAGATAAGAGTACTGATTTTAACCAAAATAATATAGTGGTCTGTGTATTCTCTACTTTGTTACTTTTATACTAAATAATAAGTATTATAATAAGTAACATAGTAAATGTTCATTTTATTGCCTCGAGTGGTGATTTTTAAAGAAAAATATGGTTGGTTGAGATTATAATTTTAATTACTCAAGAGTAAACTGACTATGTATAATTTAATTTTCTTTTTGGTTCTCCCTAAAGAATATCTAAAATACAATAAAGGAACCATGGAATAAACCTTTTCAAAGGATGTCTTTTTTATAGTCTTAAATTTCTGTGTGGATTAAGCTAGGAAATAAGGAAATTTTGGGAAGGTTTGTGGCCTAAATTATTTTGCATGTTATATTGTAATTATATTTAAATTTTAAGAAACTTTTAAAACACAAGTACATTATAAACTTTCCACACAAAAAATTACGCTTAGCATTTTATAACTGTTGATCTTACCTGCACTTATAGAGTCAAAACAGAAGTAAAATTTTTATCCCTGTCATTCTTATTTATTACTCATCATAAGGAAGATGTGCGCCCGCATTCTTTAATTTAATGGGGTTTTTTGTTTGTTTTTTAGCCTCCTCAAATGGGAAGTGTGCCTGTAATGACACAACCAACATTAATATATAGCCAGCCTGTCATGAGACCACCAAACCCTTTTGGTCCTGTATCAGGAGCACAGGTATTAACATGATACATAGAGCTATTTTAATATTATTGATGTGGAAGGAATATAGTATTAAAAGTTATTTCATATAATTTGAAAAGCAATGTCAAATTATTAGCATTTTTTCCCTTGTGGTGGAAATTATTTGTATCAATTTTTGCTCATCCAAGAGTTTTGAAGGGGTATTGATTGTTTGGCAAGAAATGACAAACAGATTACAAATTAAATTAAAGATGGGAAACTTGTTGATTTATAATTGGAGGATCCAGAGAATGGTTTTTCTGGGATTAAGGAACCTACTTGCTTTCTGCTTATGAATTTGACATGCTCTGTTTTGTGAAGTTCAGAACTCTTTAACGCAGATCTCTTGCCTTGTCAAATGACTTATTAAACAGTACAAGAAAGAGGTTGCCCTTGAGAGCTTTATAAAGTTGACATCTTTAAAAAGCTATGAATGTTATTTTTTCATTAGATGATTTTCCAGCCATTGAGGATTTTTTTAAAAAACAAACCCAAAAGGGGTCAAAAAAAACCTTGAAATGCCAGGCTAACCCAATTTCTTTAAAGGACTTTCCTCTAAGATTCCCTCTGTCAGTTCAGAGGAAAATGTCAATAAATTTTATCCTAATATTCAGTTTGTTATTTTCATATTGTTAGCAGTAAAGGAATGTTGAGTTTTGTTTTCTTTAAGCTTCTCTCTATTATGATAAGCAAAGAAAAAATTTTTTTATTCTCTGGTGGCATACAGATTAATGAGAATTTTGTGAAGTAATAGAATGGCTTATCCTAGGTCTGTGGGTTTGCTCCATTCATTTAACAGTTGCAGTTAATAAGTAAATGCAGTTATTAAAGCATGCCTTTCCTTACTTTTCTTGCAAATGATAATTGTAAAATAAATTTTCATTAAAATAGAGATCAAATACCAGTTCTATAACTATTGCCAGAGTTTTTCCCTGTTCCTTGAAATGGGTTTCTTTTGGGAGCCATTTATCAGTGTATGCATACTTTAAAAGCTCTGGTCTCTTACCTGAATATTAAATTGGCTTAATATCTTGGGAGTACCTCAGATACATTCCAGATACATTGATCTTATTGCCATTTAATAACGTATTCCAAACAATTGTGTGTTCTATATTGTATCAAGGTGGGAAAAGTGGGAAAGTACTGTTATCTTCCAGGTGGTATTAGGTCAGACCTTCTTATGGTTTTAGGTAATTGTCCTCATTATAGCTTTAATAGACTGCAGTATTAAAATTACACCTTTTATACACTTCATACACTTACCTATTCTCTTTCTATTTTTTATACTTGCTTGTTGTTTTGTATTTTTAAGAGACTATTATTGCTTAAAGATATGGGTATTGTTTTTTTCTCTTCTGCTTGATTGCATCTTCCTAGGTGTTGTGACTAAATGGAAAATACTAGATCCCTGTAGTTTTATTTTTCTCTTCTGTGTGTCTTCATTTGGCTCACTCTTTGATTACTTGTTATAGGTTAAACTGTTGTCTGTTTGCTAACTTGGGGAAATTAGAATTCTTATTTGTTCATTTAGTACTATTCATATAAATCCTATTGGTACATAAATTGAAATGCCCACTGCCAACCAGTAGTTTGTAAACCCATTCTGCTTTTCACTAGTCAGTTTCAGTTTCTTTTTGAAAGAAATGTGAGGTAGTAGGCAGTAACACTTTTTATAGAGGCAGGTTAGCTATTGAAGATTTTCGGTGAAAAGGATTGTTATGTTCATTTTGTTCTTAACTATCCCTTATAAGAGAAGCTCATACTGATTCCATGTCAGTTTTATTTTCACAAAAGCTATATGAAAACAACAGAACTGTAATTTGGGGCATTTCATTTGAGAAAATAAGTATATTAAAAATTTTGTTGCAGTCCCTTCTTGCTGGTGCAGTGGGTTAAGGCACAGCACTATGAAGCTGTCCTCAGCCACTGCAGCATGAGTTCAGTCCCCAGTCGGGGAGGTTACCCACATGACTGGCAGACCTCTGCTATCTTGCCCACTGCTCCCCTTAGCAATGTGTTTCAATCTGCTTGTTCTGTTCCCCACTCTTGTTTTTGGTGAATCCTCTCACCTCCCACACCTTTGGCCTATACCACAGTTCATGCAAGCATAAATAAATACATCTTTAAAAAAAATTTTTGTTGTTGCTTTGTTGATACTGGGTTTTGTTTTGCTTTTTAATGGAGGTCTTACTTTATGGACATACAAAATGGCTGCTGTGTTTTTGTTTCTGATGACCAGTATTAAGCCTGACATCTCACTTGATGTCTGAAAGGAAATAATGGCTTGTGTGAGTGCTTATCCTTCTGAAAGGGAGTACTGTTGGCTTTATATATTGGAATAATTCAAACCATCCAAAAATGCCCTTTTTAATGGCTTTCTTGTGTCGAAGAACTAGTAACTCCTCTTGCTTTTAGAGTTTGTGTTTTAACTTTCTTGGTATGTTAATATGAGTATTGGCAGTGCTTAGTTCTGTCAGCTGATCTCCCCAGATGGATAGCTGTGAAGGCCTTTTGCCTTCCCACATGTCATTATGCTCATTCATTCTTGCCTACAAGAAGATTGCAGGACAGAACATGCTTTTGGAATTGGAATTCCATGGGTGAAAAGCATGCTTGAATCAGTCACAGAACTCTGAGCATCCCAACTGTTGATAACTATTGTTAATAAAATAATGTGTACAGTAAGACCGTTTTACTGGGCCATGGTTCCTAAAAATGTGGAAATCTAATTTCTTGTCTTAAGACCAGAACATTTGTAAAGCTTGAGTGATTATGAAGTTCTCAAAATCATGATGAATATCAGTTTCCATGTATATAGTACCATGACTATATATAAAGTACCAGAACTTTATCAGCTAACATTAAAAAAGTCCCTTTTAAATAATTACATCTCACTGACATTTTTCTGTATGCTAAATACAACCATAAATTCTAGCTAAGTTGAAATTAATTGGAATAGCAGATTTTAGAGGGGAAACATCACCAGCTTTGGCATAAATAATCTGTGTTAGAATCTATTATTAAGAGTCCTAGAGCTGTCTTAACAAAGTACCACAGATTTTATGCCTTAAACCAAAAAATTTATTCTCTCACAGTTCTGGAAGTCAGAAATCTGAAATCAAGGTGTCATGACAGAGCCATGCTCCTTGAATCCTCTAGAGAAAGATACTTCCTTGACTCTTCCATTATGTGGTAGCCCCAGTCATACCTTTTGTTTAAGGTGTAGGGCCTTGTATTCTACTTCCATCAGAGGGCATTCTGCCTCTGTCATCACAGAATATTTCCCTCTTAGAAATACAGCAGTTATTGGAGTAGGATTCCTACTATTGAACTCTCCTACTTGATTACATCTGCAAAGACTGTATTTCCAAATAAGCAGGTGTTTGGGGAAAGTTGTCTGTATAACTTGAAAAGCCTCATTTTTCTTCTGTGAAATGATTTTACCTAGGTTTATTGTAAGCATTAAATGAAAAAGCTTAAAATTGACTGAGGAATTAAATTTGTTGTGTTTTTTAAAGTAATAATTATAAGGAACTTTTTGTTTGGTTTTAAAAGGAAATTGTACAAGGTTGTCCTTTTTAGAAATTGTTCATATTCCCTAAATGTCCCCATTCACAAATTCTAATTTCTTATAATTTTTTACATGTGTTATAAATTATCTTGATTTTAAATAACTTCATTATTTTGAAACCTTAATTTTGACTCACTATTAAATCATGGAATGCTCAACCTTTTCAAATCCTTTAAAATGATGGAATGCTCCTTAGATTCTTTTTAAGATTTGTCAGTTGTTTATGTAACTTTGGAGTTACATTTTATTCCACATGTACACATGCTTCATTCACCCTTCATCAGACCTCCCTGACAATGCTCTGCCCCTTTCCCCATCTCTTGTTCACACCCACTACCTCCCATTCCCTCCTGTAAGCAGTTTTTGTTTTTTTTTTTCCCATTAGGTCTATAGATTGTTTTTGTTGTGCCTTGCCAGTGTATGTTTTTGGTTTTTTTGTTTTATGTTCCACAGGTAAATGAAAGTGTGAGATAGCTGTCTTTTTGTTCTCTGAATTACTTCATTTAGCATAATCCTTAATCATTTTTAGTGGAAGCCAATTATATATAAGCATAAGCTCATATATGGAACACAGTTTGATTTTTTTTTTCTCTCAAAATAAAGAGTGGTGTTTCTAATAAGTGACAAATAAATGATGCATTGTGGACACATTTATTATATTAATTTGTTATAGTGCCAGTTAATGTAAATCTTTGCTTTTCATTTCTTTGATTTTCAAGAGGTAAGAAATTGAAGTCTAATTTGAATCAGCAGTGAGCACTATTCAGCTGCAATATGTTTCATAATTTTCATTTAAGTAGAACTTTCAAAGGACTTATCTTGGAAGTGCTTCTTAGAAGCACTTCTGATATATGAAGGTGCCTTTCTTTTTTTTTAAATAATAAAATAGTTTATTTTTACACCATTTTGTGCCTTTTTTTAAAAAATAATAAAATAGTTTATTTTTACACCATTTTGTGCCTTTTTCCATCTCAGTTGTAATCCCCGTGGGTTTCCTATCACCAAATCACCCTTGTGCCATCACCATAGTCTGGTGCATTTTCCTCCCTCCGTTGTTTTTGATCCCATTCCCCAAACTACCCCCATAAAATATCTCTGGTATATAGCTTTTCATTATTGTTATTTTCTTACCTGGTCCATTATACTCCTGCTGCGAGTGAAATCATCCAGTATTTTTCCTTTTCTTTCTGGCTTATTTCACTAAGCATGAGAAGATGCTATTTTTAACATAGGTAAGTCAGTTCTTAATATTTCTTTCCATGAGTTTAGAAACTTGTGATTTAGTTCCCTCTTCCCAGTGTGGTTTTCCTTAACTTATTTTTAGTTCTGTTGAGGTTATTTAAGATGCCAGTTAAGAATAACATATTGTGTGTCTGTTGCCATCTAACAGAAGTCTTTGATTTTAGATAGGATTAGATATATACAGTATACCTTCAAAGGGGAATGCTTCAGGGACCATTATCTCGTGCCCCTATAACAAAATGAGTAGTGCTTTAAGGGTGACGGAATAGTAGTGGTATAAATACTGATGCGCAGAAGCCCAGAATGTCATTATTTTAAACACAAACCCAAATGCACTATAGGGCATGCTGTATAAACTAGAGCGATTCATTCATTCATGCATATATGCAAGAGCCTGGGTACAGGCCAGAGGTGCAGGGGGTGAGTAGACTCATTAGTGACAGAATGGGGAGCAGAACAGGCAGATCTACTGAAATATACTGCTGAGGGGAGCAAGTTCAAATGTAAAGCAGACAAAAACAAAAAGTTGCTTCTTCTGTAAGATTTTTGAGCACAGCTAATGATATTTCAGAGGTTTATCCTTCAGAGGTTTATCCTTACATATCCAATCTTTTATTCTCCTATAGTATTTCATTTGTATTAGCCTCACTTTTTGAGACTGCTATTTTTGTTCTTACCTGGATTATTCTGTCTTTGGTGTTGGAGGATAATGACTGAGTAACAATATTTGCTTCATGAATTTTAGCATCAGCAGGATACTTTCTAAAAAATTCCTTCACTCTACGTATACTTACTTTTTATTAAAGATTTTTTGTACCCTGTCCTTATTATACTAAATATATTCTATAACCAGGAAATCTTTAGGTGTAAAATAAAAGATATTTTGTAATGTTAGAATTTTAGAATTTTTTTACTGCGCCAATTTTTTTAAAAGTTGATTAAGTAGAATGAGGGCATGGAGGAGTGTCATTACGTTTGCCATTATTATTTGTAAATTTAGTACTTTTATTTCTATTCTGCTGCTCTCTTAACTGCTTCTCAATATTTCATTTTCCTACAAAATGAGAAAGGAAGACTAAACATGTCTGTAGTAGTCTAGTAAGAATGTTCACTTTGTTTAAAAGCCATATTCAGTTGAGGTTTAGGTCATTTTAATTAGGAAAGAAAAATGATAACTATACTAATTTTTTTAGGTTGCATATACAGAACATTATTTGAAATAAAGTAGTACAAAGCTGACTGTTTTTTGTGATGACATATTTGTAATAGATTTTAACTGGAATAGTCATTCATAATTTGTCTTTTGCTGGCTTGTAGAATTTGTAGTTTTATAGTTGACGATAGTTGGGTTTTGTTCTGTTTTAATTGTTTATTGTTTAGTACTTAGCAACACTATTCATTCTATAATTTTGTCATAAGGAAAGGTGGACCAAATTATCATAAGTAAAGGTGCCTGTCATTTCAGGTCACTTTCCGAGGTTAAATCATGCTACTTTTTTTTACCTACTATGGTCTGTTTCTACTTTGTGCTCTTTTGTCTGTCATGCTTTCTTTAAGCATATATAATACTGCAGCAGATAGTCTCTTCTCTTTTTTTCTTATTTACTCTCTGAACTGACTACTTTCTCACCAGTGCATGGTCCCACAGAAGCAGTGGGACCAGACAGTCAAGGGCTGCTACAGTTAGCCAAACCAGTTTGGGCCATAGTTTCATCCACTTAAGGTGGGTATTGGTAATAAAGAAAATTATGGCAGGGGTATTGTCGTTTTTTCTCATGATTTAGTTTAGCTACGTACATACAGATCTAAGACACATATGAGTGTGTTTTACTGGTGATTTGAAAGAATAGTAGAAATATTATGTAGAAACCAAACACTTGCTCTTTAACATTACTGTAATTTCCAGGATGTCTCTTATTTTTTTTTAAATCCTTGCTTACTGAGAATTCACCATAACCTTAATAGGGTCTTTACTCTGGGGCTGCCATGTCCTCAGAATGCTGCCCTCTTGAAACATGATTTAAGACAATATTTTTATTTGGGGCTCTCATAGGAGACTTGTGCTCTCATAGAGACTTGTGATTTTTAATTCGATCTATCTGTAATAAATAGGATTTTGTTTTTTGTTTTAACTTCAATGAAAGAGATCATCTGTTTTGGAGAAAAACCCATTTAATCTTGGCGATACATTAAGTTCCCTTCAGCTCAGTGATTAATGATCACTTAAAGTCATTCTGCTTCTAAATGGTCATCCATGGAATGAAAGGGAAAAGATGTCTTTCCAATTAAGTTTGTCTTGGCACCATAATTTGTCTTGGCATGGATTTTTACAGTATCCTCCCATTTGCAGCAGTATTTGTAATTCCATACTTCTCATTGTACATTTACATTTGAGACTAAGGTATGAATTAGGAAAATGACTCAACCACTGATATATTTGAAGATGGTTCCTAATCTTGTAAATTGATCTTGACATCAAAACAGCAAATTGCACATTCTTTTTCTATAATTACTGAAGCTCACTGGCTATATTGCTTTTGCCTAAAATGATTAATAGGTAGAAATGAGATCACTTTGACCAGCAGTGACATATTTTAAGGCAAAAAATTCTTTGTATGATTTGAAAACATTTCTAAAAACCCAAAAATCCTTTGTAGGATTTAATGTTGAAGGTATAAATTGAAACAATTTTCACTTAGTCAGCTTTGATTTTATATTCAGTTGAGCCCTGTAAGGACAGTTGTGTTTCATAACATTCCTGTACTTGAGTGCCTCTACAGTTTTATGCAGGGACTAGAGGAGGAAATCAAACATTTGTTCTAAACTAAGATGACTCATGTTTGGTTGACATACTCTTACAGGTTGCTTGGCAAAGCTATATATATGAAAACTCACACCTTCGTTCTTCAGGAGCTTTCTTTGAATAAAAATATTACTATGTTCAGTAGTCTACTTGCTTTGCTGTATATGCAGTTTAAAGGGATAAATTTCAAAATTGAGCAAATATATTCTAACAGGAAACATTATCTATCAGTGCTCTTACATATTCTCTATAGTCAGACAGCATGTAGACTGTTGGACTAGGTAACCTCTGAGCTCACTTCACCTCCCGGATTGTGCACATCAGTTACAAGTGTCCAGATAGCCAGGCAGGAATAAAGTGTGAACAAGGATGGCATTTTTCCATCTATTAGGAGGAAGGAAAAAATATCACAGCTAGATGTGTTGGGGCTGAACTGAAGTCAGAGTGGACAGCTTTTGACAGATAGCTTGACCCAAGAAGCCATCTTTTCTCAAGTAAAAAAATACATAATTATGTATTCCATTCTTTCCCACATATACACATATAATAAGTCTTAACCATGGGTAAGCCTCTTTCGATCTTTTTGGGCAAAACTTTATTCCTTTAGAATTTCAGAAATTAGAATTTGTGTTCTGAGAAATACACATGCCACTGGATACCCTTTTATTTGACACGTGACTGAAACTATTTAATATTTCCATTTTCTTCAAAGGCTGCCTTTATATTTATGGAAGATGACAAAACAAAACCACTTCTTCTTTCATTACATTTTCTGCTTTCATGTTCTGTCATTCTGAGACCTTTTTTTCTTTCCCTCTCTCTGTCTTCTTTCCCCCAGCTGTCGGCAGCATCCAGCCCCTCCAGTCACAGTCCTCACAGAGCTTCAGGAAAGGACCCTTTTGCAGAGCTATCTTTGGAGGATTTCTTATAAATCACTTTAGGTATTGCTGCTTGTTGGGGGAGATGGGGTCTTAAATACTTTAAAATATTACCAAACATTAAGCACAATTCATTCTTCTCAGTTTCTGTCAAGGACTGGGCTCCTTCTCTTCCTCCTCATCTGTTCTTAGATGAAGAATAAAAGTAGACCAGGATGGACTATAAAGATAAACAACTTTGGAAAATATCTTTTAACATAATTTAGAAGGTGTAAAATCAAAGGACCATCTCTCATGTTTACATATAAGTATCTATTGTTCCAACATATGGATGAGATCAAACCACCACCCTTAACAGACTTAGAGTTAAAAGATTTATATAGAGAACAACACAATTGTACATGTTGTATTAGAGCTTAATTAGGTCCATTTTTAGTTTTAACATAATGAACTAGAGTTAGTTGTGAAGAATTCATTTTAACAATTTCTTTAAAGGACTGTATTATGTATTCCTTTTCAATTAATAATAGTAATATTAAAAAAATATTTTTTTGGTAGCTAAGGGTAAGTGAGTGCTTAACAACCTTTTTGATGAAGTATTCTCTGTATGTGATCACACTGCCTCTTTTTGATGGATGACAGTGTAATTTGGTCTTCTTGGTGTGCTGACTCCAAGTGAGATACAGCTTTTAGATCTTGTGAGATTGTATGGTTCTGATTTGACAGTAGTTTTTTAAAGCACGTCTACTTCAGTAGTCTTTGAGCATTTCAAGGGATAGCATGAATAAACTGAGTGAATAGTAAAATACTATTGAAAAGTGTGCCTTTGTCAATCTTTCAGATTTTGATTTGTAAGGAGTGATTTTTTAAGTATATAACTGTTCCCTTAATTATCTCTAATTTTACAATGTCATTTGGAAATAATATTTCAAATTTTGCTTTGCTAAATGAGATTTTTATGTGGAATATTTGTGTTTATGGAGAAATTTTCTGAATTTGTCATATAAAAATTATTCATTCTTCCTTTTCTTAACCTTTAATTTTCAGTAATTAGATATTTGAAAAGCCCTATAATTATGTTTCAGGTAGTTCGGGCACAGGATAAGTTGTTAATACTGACTTTGTTTTAAAGTCATGGTTTGTGATAAATATGCTGTGAACATTTGGGGTGATTTAAATAATCAAAGCCACAGCCATTTTTGTGAGAAGAGACCCTTCAGTGCAATGAATTAATTATGCTTTTGTTTCCCTCCCCCCTCCTCAGATACAGTTTATGTAACTAGATGGAAGAGAAAAGGAATTATTCCAAAAAGACAAGTGCTCAAGCAGCAAGTACTTACTTCCAGCAAAATCCAAACTGCTGTCTCTTAAACTCTCTTCTTCCATTAGAATGCTACAGTAACCCAGTGAAGGCCCATGAAGGAAATTGGGACTAGTCTATAGGAGAACGTATCAATACCATTTATAAAGCCAAGAATTGCCATGATTTGAGACTAAGATCTGTCTTTTTTGGTGACTAACCCTTCAGTTCTTTCAACTCCTATTAATACCCATAATCAGTAACCTACCAAGAAAAGCCCTTATTTGGAAAGCGTGAAATTTGTATTTGGAAAAGCTGCCTGGAGAGAAGAACTATGTCCTTTACTGTAATGCAACAGGACTCTTTTGGGGGGATCAAAATCATAATTCTTAATTATAAGGTATCTTTCCTTTCTCCAGTCCTCACAGATACAGAAATAGTAACTAAAATTAACTTTTCTTTTTTAAAAAAATTATATATTCAGTTTGCAGTAGACATTCCTTAAGTGTTCGTATTTATTTATAATTATCATTTTTCATAACATTAATATTGTATCAAACCTCCTTATGAAAATGAGTATGGATGTACACTGTATGTTTGATTTTTTTTTTTTATCCACAAGAATGAATCTGATTCAGAATGCTTTTCAGCTGACATACAGAGCACTAAATATTTTAAGGCAAGTCCGTAGATCTGAATCGCTTAAGAATTCTCAGTCTCTATGGGAACTAGGAAAGCATTATAAATGCATTAATCCTTATAGTCAATTCTGTGCCTAGGATTTTGCAAGGGAACAGTTCACTGACTAGGAAAAGCACTACATTTTTAAATTCAGCATTAGTGCATTGGGAAGGAACTTTATTGCTTTGTGCTTGGCATGTCATTATTTTCCATTTGACATTAGGTCCTTTCCAAAATGAATGTGAGGAATTGCTTTCACTTCAAGACTTTCCTTCTTTTCAGTAAAACTCTAGGCGGTGTTATGGGGGGAGGGAAAGGGACAAAATCTTTGAACCTTTTATTTGGCTCATGCCATGTTATGATCATGTACCTTTTAAATAAGGGGAAATAGTATCTTTAAAGTTAATATCTAGCCAAGAGTTTAGTTAATGAAGAATTAAACTGCACTGTTGATCGGTGCTTTATGTAAATACATCTTAAATTTTTGGGTTGAGAGGGGCCTTGAGAAGGACAGTTCATTGTAGGAAAGCAATTCTATACATGAGTTTAAGCATACTTGTTGCATTGTCTCTGCAGATTCTATTTTTGTTTACAATATTAAAAATGTATGTTAGCAAAAATGGGTGGATTTTCAAATAAAATGCAGCTTCCACAAAACTTTTGTTATGGTATTCTGGTCTGAAGTGCATTTCCTTTTTTTTTTTTTTTTTCCTTGTCAGTATCATTTTTTGCTAATAAAAGCATACTCAGGTGATATTTGTTGATTTAATAAAATATAAGATTTCTGTTTTAACTTAATTTCAAAAAAATTTTATGTTTGTACTTTTTGTTACCTCCTAGACTTGCTAAATTGTTCATTTTGTCTGTTTGATCAGATAAATGCCTTCAGTCAGGTAAGTTTAAGGAGAAAATGCTTTGAGTTTGACATAGTGATATAGTGACTATGTTTGCCAGAGACACATCTGGCTGTATCATGTTTGATACTGAGTAGCAAGTAGGAACAAGCACATGGTAGAGGGATTAAAAGTTTCTTTTGTTTGTTTGTTTTTTGCAGCAATATGAATGGACCTGGAAGGGATCATGGTTAGTGAAATAACCCAGAAAGAGAAAGAAAAATACCAGATGGTTTCATTCGTAGCAGGAGCGTAAGGGATCAGGGAAGGAAAAAAAGAGAGAGAGAGACTAACAAATGTAATAGAGGGAAAATGAAAGCAATGAACAACTATAAACCAGAGACATTTTATGGCCGTGGGAGGGGGAATGGGATCGAAACTGGGTTGGGACGAGTGCCCTGGACTGTGGTGATGGCACACGGGTGATTTGGTGATGGGAAGTCCCATGAGGATTACAGCCGAGATGGAAAAATGCACAAAATGAAGAATTGAAAAATGTCTGCATATATTTGCCATATTTGCCATGGTTGGAAAAAACAATCTTTAGCCAGTATACATTGTTACTTTTACCAGTCTCTACATTTCATTATTAAACCATTTTCGTATACACTGGGAAATTGTACTTTTGTAAGCTACCTTCATCAACATTACCACAGATTTTGATTTGTCTCTTATGATGTTTGAAATCTATGGCTTATCTCTTTCTGTCCCTTACTTTTTTTCTTAGTGTTTATGTGAAGGTGCTTCATAAAACACGTCCATCGTACTTTCAAAATAAGGTTAGACTGGTACAGTTGCTAGCTACATTTTAGGTGTTTTCACAGACTGGAATTAGAACCTTGAAAAGAAATCTGCCTTGGTTGACAAGCTAACTGGTAGAGGGATCAGCTCTAGTTTTAAAATCCATTGTTCTCTCTATGACCTGCTGCTGTCATTGAAAATACAAACTAAAAAGAAGTTGTGTGCCACTGTGGGTTAGACTGGTGACCACTCTTTATCCCAGATGTTCTTCTCTTGTGAAGCAAACCATATAACAATATTAACTTTAGTCAAAATGTAGTAAGTGAGGTAAATCAACTTTGCTTTGTAACTACATCAGGTTATGTAAACCTGTGTGTTGCCAGCACCATCTTACTACCCAAGTGACTAATGGCTACTGAGATAGGTAAGGTTACTAGCAGAGGGTAACCATAGCTGTCACAAATTTTTTAAATATTGTATCTTTGTTTTTAACATCATTTTTTTTTTTAGCTCTCCTTTTCTTTACCAGTGATGTTGAGATCCACTATTTAGGAAGAGTTTTCATGTTTAATTTGGGTGAAAGTACATAATGAATATCCCATATGTTACTGACCTAACTAACAAGCAATATGACTTTTTTTTTTTCTTTGCCTAGTGAAACTACCCACATTGGCAAAAGTTTGTATAAAATTTCTTTCGTTGGCCTCTTTTGGGGCAGGTGTTGATCATCTTGAAACAGTAGATTAAACTGTAGGTAGACAACTAGAAGAAAAGGTTCTGTGGAAACTTAATTCCCATTCAGAAATAACTTTTCCTTTATCTGCTACAAAATGAATTTTAAAGTGATATTGATATTGATAGAAAAATTGCCATGTGAGAATCACCTTGGGAGCAAAACTTCATTTTGACTGAACCTTTCCCAGTTCACAGGCCCCTGCACAGCTCTCTCGAACCTGGGACATTTGGCAGCAGTTCTGTGCACTGATTGACACAAAGGGAAAGAAAGAATAAGAAGTGTCAGGCTGGCTGCCCTAATGGACAAAACTTGAAATTCATTTCTTGGCCTCCCAACCACCATTGAGGCTCAAGCCTCAAACATACCACACTGGCATTGCATAGTGTCCATCTTTTAAGGGGCACAGAACAAAATCTGTATTGCTCTGATTGTTTTGTTCTGTTTTGTTTTGCTGAGATAGAGTAGGGAAAGCCTTTCACTTTGACATAGTTCTTATAAAAGGAAGACTTCAAGGTCCTGGAAGATTAGAGGCTTTGCCATAAGGGAAGATGGAGGTCTTAGTGAAAGAGCTCAAGAAACCCAGGAGATAGGTGGTGTTTGGTCAATGTGTCCATTGTTTGGTGTTCATAACAACTGTCTAAGATATCTCTGACAGCTGTACTGATAGAGCTTTGAGTTCTTAATGGGCAGAATTTATATCATGGTTAGGTCCAACGTAGAAAGAAGGAATTGATGCTTCACCACTTCTTATAAAGGCACAATACATTGAACTGGCCTTAAAAAAAAAAAAAGACTTTAATAGAAGAGTGTGGAATGCGGAAAATACAACATCTGTCCTAATTCCTGCCACAGATCTGCTAAAACCCTAACGATTTCCTAAATTAAAACACTAGGGACCTCTTTTATTCTACTGTTTGATCAAAACCACACATCTGAGGTAGACTGACATAATAGACATGGCATTTCAAAAGATTAAGGACTATTTAATAAGCCTGTTTCACCAACATCTACAACATCTGTGTCTGTCTGGGAAAGGGAGGGGAATAAATTCTCAACATCCACGAATACAAATTCCAAATGTGTTAAGAGTAAATGTAAGAAATTTAAAGAAGGAAGAATAAAAGGTGTCAGTTTTCATGGAGATGATATTTTTAAGTAACAGTTCACTTTAGAAGCTATACAAATGATTAGTGAAAAAAGTTCTTTCACACTAAAAAATTCACGTGAAAACTATAGTGCTTTCCAACTACAAGGCTGTTCTGACTGCTTTTGTTTATCTTTGGAGGTATCTTCATTAACACACCTCTTACAGAGAAAGAAACAGACCGTAAGAATTTGTCACATGTCATCATTATTACATGTTTCAGACCTGTGATCTGGCTCTAGTTCTGCTCCTTCCATTTTGCTACATCCTATTGAAGAACATGCCATTTTGCCCACTAAATAACCTGTTTATATAAAAAAGCATGGGCAGTAATAAGACACAACTTGCTTACTAATCCAAAACTTGGTGAATATAAGCCAGTACAGCTTTCTTGGGTGAAAGTTGGCAGTAATAGTTGGGTGTCTTTGAAAGTTTATACCCTTGATTTAATAATTATACTTTTAGGAAATAAGTGGGGGAGCAAACTGGTATTTTGACCAGACTTTTTTTTTTTTTAAACTGAATCATGTTGCATTTCACATAAATTTAAAGACAGGAGTTATCCATATATGGAATAGATCAAATTAATGAAATACATCTTTCAGTGAGGTCACTCCTGAGACCATTGATACAACCAAAACAAAGTCTCAGTAGATAAATAGAGACAGAGCAGATCGTTAATGCCATCACAAATCAGAGACCAGTTCACTGCTGATTCCCAGGTCACCAAAGGAAAGGTTTCCCACCCCCACCCAAGATTTGTGTGCTGGTGTTGAGGGAGGGAGAGGGTTTACCATGAAAACAGGAGAAATGTTGGTTCTGTATACTTAAGGAAATAAGATTCCTTTAGCAGTCAAATAGAGAAAAGGGCATTCTATCCAACATGCATTTTAAACATCATAAGATTTAAGAATTAAGTGGAACTCCAAAGATCCTTGTCTTGTGTTAATGGAAACTCGAGTATCTCTGAGGCTTTTTAGTTTTTATTAAGCAGCATCTCACAAAATTTGTTGATGGCAGACCTTAGCTGTATGTTTCACAAAGTCTTCACACTCGATAAATTTCTACCCAAATGTAGATTGCTGAGAAAGGGGAGCAGGAGAGCGTCCATATGTGTGGTATTTGTGAGTCTGGGTGGCGCTAGCCCCTCAATTCCTTCAGTATGTGACTCACTACTCATAGAACAGTTAAGTCCTACAGTTCCAGCCAACCTTTGTCATGCCTGTATTCTTGAAAGTTATGTTCAGTCCTTTTCAATGCCTCTTATTTGAATTCAAGTCTGCTCTTTTTTTGCATTTTGATTTCTACCCTTTCTGCCCCTTCAAGTTGTGTCATTTCAGTGAGAGAAAATTAGCAATTCTGATCACATATAAGGACACTGAATTTGCAAACCCTTTCAGAAAGTCTTAAAAATATTTGCATCATTTGTTCCACTAGTCTCATTTCTATAACCCTAAAAAAAATGAAGTATGGAACAATGCAGAATATCTGTCACAGTAGTCAGGGTTACCAAAATTATTGTGGAGTAAGGAAGTATAATGATCATTTCCAAAGAACATATCCATATTTAAGGGTTAATGAAGACTGGGAATCAACAGAGATGGGAAATAACCAGGAGATGTTAAGGACCTAGTTAAAGAAGTTGGGAATGATCAACACAAATGAACAGACTAAAACCTCATCAAAATAGCATTCTGTTGACAATAAAAGAAATAGGCCAATGTAATAGCATTCACCCCCAATAAACTTAATTGTATATAAGCTATTTGACCAAAGAGCCAAGACTACTCAATGGGGAAAAGACAAGTTTCTTCAATAAACAGTGCCAGATACTCATTCAAAAAGGGAACTGGAAGTATATTGAAGACTTTTTTTTTTTTTAAAGATTTATTTGTGCATACAGAACTGGGGTACAGGCCAGAGACTTGGGGTGGTGAGAGGCTTCACCAGGGGCAGAGTGGGGAACAGAACAGGCAGATCGACGAAGTACACTGCTGAGGGGAGTAGTAAACGGGTCAGGAGAGGTCTGCCACACCATGTGGTCACCTCCAGGGCAGGCGGGTATCAAACTCATGTGGGAAGCGGCTTTAGATTCTCAGTGCTGTGCTTTAACCCACTGCGCCACCAGGGAGGGCCTATTGAA